ATAGTTTCCTATTTGGTTTGATCTGTATAATTTTGATGCTAGTTTTCTACGTCACACTTCATGTGGGTCACCCTGTATTTGACTGCGTAGCAGCAATAACCTCATAACTAGAGCAAGGTGTATTTTACAGTAGCAGACTTCGCTAAAAGCAAAGTTAGTGACGTCTACAGTTATTCGCACCTTATGTGCCTTTTTCCCCTTTACTGAGTTGGGTATTAGCGCCCGTTCACTTCAAACATGGCAAAAAGGAAAAAAAACCCAGACGGACCATCACCCGAATTTCCAGAAGGTTTGCAATTCAAGCTCTTTGAGATATCTGGAACACGTTCAGATTGCAGGTCAATATCGCTAAATATTCACAATACACCCGTGCTACACATATCGAAATTTCGCATGATTAGATTCAGTAGGAAGGGAGACATGACTGAAAAAGCATTTGACCGGAGACGTTTGAGAGCTATTGTACCTTGTCTGTGAAGCTGAGAAGATTTGCAGAAGATGGGTTGAGCGTTCTTCTTACATTTTCAGTTCTCCGAATGCAGTTGAGCATTGATGAAGAGGTGTTGCTACCGTGTTCTATTCTTTTCACGATGTCCAGCTCTTCGAACTTTCTGTAGAACCCGCATTATCTGATACCGAAAAAGATAGAAAAGTAAAAAGAAAAGAAAGGAAAATAGCATTGCAATGCCGAAAGATGCGGCCTAAAACCTGGGCAAAGACAAAAAGACAGTATGCTATTTACATGGAAGTATCGAAGGCATATCTGTGCACAGAGGAAACCTATCGATGCAAGCCAAAAGATTTCCTTCTGCGATTTTTCAACCCCCAAAAACTTGACAGTTTCTCATCTCGCCACTTCACAGTAGTCTTGTACTCCCAGTAGTATTCCCTTGCCCGATTTCGTTCCCTAATGTCCTTGTCCATAGATATTGTTTATAGCGCAACAGGCAACAGACAGCTGCGTTCTGTCACCTCAGCGTGTTGAACCGGCGTGACCCGTAATTAACTGGTACTCGTCGTCCAGCTGCGCCTATCCATTACCCCGCCAATAAATCATGTTTGAATTGTATTGCATGCATTATCTGTAAGCCAAGGAGAGCCATCTTCAAACAAATACCCAATTCTGCTACTGCAATGCAAATCCGCTTCCTGATGTAGTCTTCGCCGATGAAAACTTCATATTTCTTGCTGTATCCCTTTTCCCGAAATTTCTGATAAATTTCATAAAATTTTTGCTGAAAGAATGAAAAAGACGCCAACCAATTTCTGTAACGGATGGAGCACGGGATCCTTATGAAATATAGGAATGTTTTTCACAGAATGGATCACGGAAATGAAGCCAGAACAATAGGAAGGGCCAGGAATTCGCTTCTTGAAGATTGCTCACAAAACACGACTTGGTAGAAGGCTAGACTTTCGAACATTTAGTTTCCCTCTCTGATAGAGTACATGAAAGTACACTTCGGTCCGAATGGTATATCGCCCAACCTGGCCCCAACGTATTGAGGGAATGGACATCTGACCGTCCTGGGCATTATGTTCAGAGACGAATATACCGTGGCTTTTGACGAGATTGATTTTTGAACTATCGATGGTCAGTCGTTCTCTCGTAACTGATACCCCAAACAGGCGTGTGCACCAGTTTAGACTATGACGACACAGGGCGTACAAACATGCCCTATCCATAAATACTCTTATCGCATGAACATTCACTGTGTCCAAGGCCATGGTTATCGCAAGATTATTCTATCGAACAAATATGGAGGAAGACCGCGCAAAGCAAAACACTACACGCTCTCTTGTACATTACACTTCAAAGCCTAACCCACTATTGCTGACAGCTTGTCATGAAGATTTAGGATCTGATTTTGAGCCTTCTGATGGATGTGCTGGTGCTGACGATAAGTTTGACGTATGGCGAACTTGAATGGTCCTCCGTCGTACTGTTAGATTCGGGGCCTCTAAAGATGGTTATAGCAATAAGTCGTAAGGCACCCTGGCAGACGAGATCGCAGCCTCCTCGGTGGGCAGTCTTCGAGCATATCATGAACTCGGATCTTTTTTCGCGGCTTGCTCTGCCCCCAAGACCGAGTATGGCTATGGCGTTCAGCGTCCAGGTATACGATTACCTGCACTATTGTCCCATTTTTTGATGAATTATTGATAGCTACCATGCACCACTCACTATGTTGAGAGCTACTGGTGAAGCCTCGGTAGGCCTACAAAGGAGCTTGTCTTCGGATGAAATGTGTGATCTCGAAATGCTTCGGGAGGGCATTCTACGATTTCAATCAAGCTGCTCTGTAGCATTCGAGTTGATACGGCGGCAGGCTCGAGAAATGACAAGGCTAGCATCCTAAGAACAATCCCTCATGACAAATTAGGGAACGTGCAACACCCCTTTTTGGAAAGATACGAAATTTCAAGGCCTCTTCTCGACGCATCCTAAAAGTGAGGGGTGAAAGTTTACGTATCAACACATGCCGAAATACTGTAAGAGCCGAGTGCCGTACTGAGTTTCTGTCCTTGTTGGAGCAGAGGTAAGAACCATTAGAATTCAAAAACTGAGCCTCAAGAAGGAAAAAGGTATGTTCGTTTTTCAAAGAAAGCTAGAGAACAAAACGTAGAAAAAGACTCCATGCATATACACCACCTACACGACATAGCTAGCTCTATAAACGAGTAAAGAAATGCGTCGAGGTACAGGGCCCCGGTTGTACGGGAAATTTATAAGTTGTGGTAAAGTTACGGTAGCTGGCACAAGTACGCAGTTGCATACTGCCGTCGTAAGAAATAGCGCCATGTGCTCACGATGCGGTTCTTCAGTTAGAATGAGTGCAGCAAGGTTCAGGTCTTCTCACTGCCTAGCTCCCTTGACGAGATGCATAGTATGGTATTAGTATAATGGTATAGGTTCGAAAATGAAAAAATATTTCCCAAACTGCCCTTAGGATGACCCATGTTAATCACAATTTGACGGTACTTTAGGCGTTTGCGCGTTTTTCAAGCAAAAAAGTTTCATAACTTTGGTATGCTTTATTGTGTGCTTATTACTGTCTCTATTTCTTATGAGCTCTTGAACTGTGGTACATGGTTTAAAGTAAATGTAAGGCTTACAACCTTATCATTTGAATCAGTTGAAGTCTAGACTTTTGTATTTCCATGTTGGTTGCTTCCGCGATTGCCCCTTTTAGGGATGTGGTCGCTCACGTGACGCTTTTGGGTAAAAATGTACTCAGATAATGTTCCCACTTAGTTTTCCTTGTTAACTCAGGCTTCTTCTCGATATATTCATCATTTCTCTCATATTGCTGTCTACTTGCCTAATAATCTTTATTTTAAATGTGCCACAATTGTTTGAGCAATGTTATACAATGCAGTGACATGATGTTCCTCAATGGAGGTTCACTACAATTAGAAGTTTTTGCTCTTTCGAGGCCCTTGCGTTTTTCGGAGAACTCCATGTTCCGTGAGAGACACGGTTCTCAAAGACCCTACAATTAATAACACTGTTAACCTGTTGTCCTTGAATGCGCCTTATCGAAATTCGTTGCAATGTTGATGATTTGGTGACCGTAGGTGTCGTTTTCAATTACTCTTCATTTAAATTTTTGTATCTTGCGTGCTAAGTGCTTTCTATTGTAAAGGACTTGTGTGACTAGTCTGACTTTACGAGCCTTTGAAAACATGTTGGCATATATTCTCGAGCGATCAATGCGAGCTTTTTTCATTCGCTGCCTGCTATCTCATAATTCTTGAGAAGCAGCGCTACTCAGGTGTTTCACTCCCGTGACAAGTTTCTGTTTCCAGCTATGGAGTACAACTTCATCGGCGACGACTTCGGTCCTCTTTTTCATTACCAGTTCAGAGTTATCCTCATTGGTGACTCTTCAGTTGGCAAATCTAGTCTACTGAGATATTTTACTGAAGGGAAAATCGCCGAAATTAGTGATCCAACTGTTGGTGTTGACTTCTATGCTTGTATGATCGAGTTGCGGCCTAAATTTCGAGTAAAACTCCAGCTATGGGACACTGCTGGGCAGGAGAAGTTCCGGTAAGTTTGTTCATGTTATTTCGCTTTTCTATTCTCGTATTCTTACTTGCTCAATCCAACCAAACCTATCATCTTCACGGGATCGGTTTATTGTTATCATAGGATAGGATGGAATTCCTCGTTTAAGGGGACAAAGCACTGTCTGTGCTTACCACAACGATTTGTTACATAGGCCACACATTTATTCAAAATGTCACTACGACTTTGAATTGTAGTCGAATGGGCTGGAAGGCTCGCCCCACAAACGGAAATGGTCAGCTCCAGAAGGCTACCCGTTTTTATCGCTTCGATAGAATGAAACATTCACTGTACTTTACAAAAAAAAGTTGAGCAAACCTTATTAGGTTTTCCTTCATACTATAAGCTGGCCTGAGAAGCAGCCGATATGCGTTACAAAAGAACGGAGGCAATGTGCGTGCAGGAATACTGAGCAATTCCTTTCTTTTTTCGTTAAAGCATTACCAAGAACGGCTGTGATTATGTAGGAATGCATCGGGATCAGAGGTATAACCATCTATTCCCAAGTGTGCTACTCCATTTTGAAGCAGTAAGGGTCACCAACCAAAATCCAATGCGCGTCGCATAAAAGTTCGTTTGCAGTCCTCTAGAAGGTGCTCGTGAACGTGGAGTTGTGGCCAGTCATGGAATTAAGCTTCGCATAGTGACTTTGCAGTCAATTATGGTAACGATATTTTTACAGTTGAATTCAGATCCATCACAAGGTCGTACTATCGCAATTCGGTTGGTGTAATGCTGGTTTACGACATTTCGAATCGAGCTAGTTTTGAGAATATCAACGGATGGCTCCATGAAGCGGAAGCTAATATGGGTGGTCCAAACCCTTCTAAATGTGTTTTCCTGCTTATCGGACACAAATCCGACAACCAGTGTGAAAGACGTGTAGGTTATAAACTATTTATGCTGTATCGAGTGTGTGAATTTCCTGTTCACATTTATGCACTATTTTAGGTAGATTATGAAGAAGGTGAATACTTCGCTAAGTATCACAAAATGAAGTTCATTGAGACATCTGCCATTACTGGGAAAAACGTTTATGATGCTTTTCTTATGATGGCTCAAGAGGTACTTTTACTATTTGTTGGCCAGATGTAATGGACGAGTAATATTTTATTTCTTATGCTTTTCAGTCTTTCCGAATTTTCGGGAGACATCGCTTTGTTGCTGAGAGTGTAGTAAACAAGTTTTACGAAAATTCAAAAGGATGTATGAATTTTAGATTTATAAACGGGTTGAAGAAGGAAGTCTCCGTCCCACCGACGGATGGGAAGGTGTGAAAGGCGGCTTGATGAGAAGCCAATCAATATGCCTTTCCGAAACAGATCTAACCCCCAGGGATCACTCCTCATGCTCATGTTAGGCTTGGTTTCATTAGCCTATTACGCGGCCTCACAGAACCTGTCATTTTTTTCTACGGTGGCACTTCGTGATAAGCTCTACCGCTGCTATTCACTCGATCTCGGTTACTTTTTTTGTCTACGCTGTCCAAATTCCTTTGAAACTATCAAGCAGTCTATTTCTTGAGGCTACCAATCCTGCTGTCTGTTTCTGAGTGGAGTTCGGTCTAGTGCTCAGTTACGATTTGAGACTTTGCCTTTATTTTTCATTTTACCTTCATTGGAACTAGGACGTCGACATATACGTAAACATTTGATAGCTATTGTATAGTTAGTCTTTTTGTAGCTCATTATATTGGATGATAATTTTTGAAGTGATGAGTTAGATTGACGGTAGAATTGTCAGTATCCAGTCCTCTATTCAAGTTATCGTTTCAGTTTAGTCTGTTGCTGATTGTTCGTTGTGCATATTCGTTAGCTGTCGTATTTTGGAGAGATTAGAACTTCCAGAAATCCTTGTAGTCTTGTTGATAATGATTCGGGTATGCCCTTCCAAATTTTATCGCATTCAATTGAACACGTGAAATGGTCAGTTGGAGTTGGTCTGTAAGGGTTGATTAGGGGTATGTGGTTGTCTGCCCACTCTGCTGGAGCAAATGCAAGCCTCAAGCTTCTCACAATACAATGACTCCATACATCCGCCAACCTTATCCTGGGCATGGCACAACGAGACGCTCCTCGATCCAATCCTTACGTGGCTATTCAAAAGTTTGTTGGCGGGTAATTAAACTGTTAGCGCTATCTTACTCCCTTATATTGTAGTTATTGTACAGAGATAACTTCTACGTTATAATCATTAGTTGGCTTTGTTATTGTTGCTGCATTGTGCACAAAGTAGTTTATTGTAAATTAGCTTCAATAAAAGTGAAAACAACAATAGTATCATTCCACCGTCATTCTTTCGTGGATATCTCAAGAAGAAATCTATATCACCGTAATAATCTTGTCACAGACAAATCAATGTGTACTCAAAAGTATAGAATATGTTGAGCTGTACAAAAAGGATGCTCCAAAGATGTACAACGTTAAAAGCATCATTCATACAAAGCAAATTAAGCGAAAAGACATACCACAAAATCTCGAATGTATCGTTAATTCAAGACATTGACCTTGTATCCCATATCATGACTACTCTGTTTTGGGTTGCCATAACTAGTTTTCCAAGCGTCTCTTGCAGATACATCGCAGTCACACCACTTCGAAGATCGTGCGAAACAGCAAGTGGCGTAAGGCTAGAAGTGGTTATAATCCTGCCGATATATAGTAACGGGAAGCATTGAGTAAGAATTTTAAGGCTGAATAGTTATGTGCCGTAGACTTAGATTGCTCTTCTTTTCACCCACTTCACAAGACTGCATGATTCTACGTATAATACTGAATCAAATCCTACTAAATCCATAAATTCCAATTGGTTGCTGTTCGCTAGGAACCTATTATTTGCGAGTTGCGTGAAAAAAATTTGCTTACTCGAAAAGTTGCGGATTATCTTCCATTTTCTTGTGACACTCATTGCATATGCGAACCGGTAATTCGTAACCCATCCGAGGGAATGCGGTCCAATTCGAACAACAGCTTCCGCACACTGCTTTTCCACATGTTCGACAGTGATGCTGTCGCTGACCAACCACCTGGTTAACCATGAGCTTTTTACGAATGGAAAGAGCACCAGAGAATCTTCAAAGTGAGGGTCACCTTCCGTTGCCACATCGCAGAGAGGTTCCAGAAAAAGGGGCTATCACAAATCTCACAATTGTCAGAGTTCTTCCATCCTGGTGTCTCTAATCTGCAATGTAGGTAAACTCGAAAAGGAAGGCAGCAGAATCATATTCAAATATGACCTGTTAGCAGACATATCCCAGCAAACGAGCTTGCCCGTGTCATCAGCCGAAAAGAGTCTAGCCGCCCCGGGCGCGATAGCCAGGCAGGTAATTTTCGAAGAATGTCCACTGGAAATCATAATTCAAGCTAGTACTGATAATGAATGACTAAGTAGATTACCTACTTGAGCTCGTAAGCTTCCCCTCGTTTCCCACCGATATCCCACATTATTACTAAACTGTCGTGACTCCCTGAATAAAGGATCTCCCTCACTCTGTTCCAAGCCAGAGAGGAGATAGGACCTGGAAAATGACTACGATTACAACAAATTCATAGAAATGACTTCTCATTCCCTCAACAAAGCGGAACCGGATCAACTCAAAACAATAAAAGAAATTTCAACATAACCTGTGTGGGCACTCAACTTGCTGACCATCTGAGCTGAATCACCGCTAAGCCTAAGCACAACAACGTTACCGCCGTGATCGCCAATAAACACAAAAGGGAGGTCAATAGCCATCGCAGTACAACTGCTCTCGCAAAGAAAAGAACCTTCAATCATGAAATAAGCGACATATTCGTCATCATCAACTACATAAGATTCAGAACTCTAAACGCATCACTCTCGGTAAATAAATTGAATATGGAATGTCGATTAACCAACCTCGCTTTATGCCCGTTTCCGAACAATGCCAAACAACAGACTTATCCTTTGAACAACTGAACACAAGTTCAGCACTTAGTGCCAGTCCTAGCCCAGAAATAGGTCCAGCATGTATTGTCCACCTGCAAGACCAACTTCATATTTTTGTCATAGTTTTCACAGAAAAAAAGAAACCTCATCGGAAGATAACAAGCGCAAAAATAAAGATTGGTGAAAAAATTTTGAGAAAGCGAGCCGGCTCGGCTCATGCTGCCTTCCACCCATAAATAATCACAGTTTGTTGGGTCGCGTTAAACAGAGCGAGGCTTTTCCCTCCTTCAAAAAGAGCGAAATTCACGCGCTCTTTTTGAAGGACGGAAAAGTTTTCCACGTTTGACTTCGCAAAAAACGTCAGTGTCAGTTGAAAACGGGAAGAATGATCGTCATCTAAACATTCTTTAGCTGATTTTTCAGTGCTAAAATCGGTTTCCAGTTTAACAAAAATTGCGCTACTCAAATGTTTTTCAAACGAGAGAAAGCCATCATTTGCACTCAATCCCACAGCGATATCGACAATAGTTGGGTGATGGCAAAAAGTCAAACGTCAATTGATTAGGCCACCGTACTGAGTTCTATAACAGCGGAGTCTTCTCAAACTGTGGGTCAGCCTTTTAACAAATGACGTCGAATAATTGAAGATATATCCAGACATGAGATAACTGAAGTTCTCGACAGTAGTGATTTTGATGTCAAATGTTTCGATATTTGCGGCTTCTTCGCAGATATAGTCAGAAGTCTGGCCATCTCATCTTTTCGTAACGTTTCAACTAGTTTGATAATCCCCACATCTTGTCCTCCCGATCGCGGGATCGCGTGCAATTAGTTTTCTTTGAATATTGAAAATTCTCAATTTTGAAGCCGAAAAACAAAAATCCAAGAGAATAGCATCTAGCCGACGAATGTTGATTGATGAATAATTTATCAGTAAAACAAGAGACCGTACATTCATATTTCAGAGAACTTCCAACAAAACTCTCAAAGCCATTATTACCTTCGCACTTCAGGTTCACTCATGGAGTTGTAGTCATCTGCAACGTAGAACTCGTATACGTGACCATTTAAAAGTCCCACAAGTAATCTGAGCAACAAGATGAGCTAAGTACAACAGAGAAGGGCGAATGACATCTTTTGAAAAGACCAAGAAATGGTAGAGAACGTACCTGGATGTTTCCTCGCTGTAGTGAAGACATGTAGGGGCTACAGGCATAATCTTGTGTATCGAAGGCCAGAACTGTCCGTTATCCCTCTTCAGATAAAGTCTCACCGAACGGTCATCGCTAGCTGTCCAAACACCTTCCTCTTTTGATAAAAGGACCACATCGTTTATACGAGCAACATGACCTTCAATTTTGTGCAGCAACGCTGAAAGAATGCCCTAAAGACGTTCAAGTTTCGCCTCCGGTTATTAAATATGGGGGAATTCCTAGCACTTCCTAAATATACATGCTTAAAGAAAATGAGAAGCAATGGTAGGAGCTCGACTAAAATTCAAAAAAAAAAAACAACAACAAGTCACTTTGGAGAATAGTGGATGAAAGCTTAATAGAAAATGCGTATACACTACTTAATGAAAATGAATCTTAACTTACTGGGCTTAGCTTGTTCGCCTGTGCTGTTAGCGCTCCCAGCTGACGTGGGCCGCGAGTTTATGACAGCTGACATTTACTGAAAATGGAAGAGTTTTTCTCAAAGACAAGAAGGTTATCTAAGCGAAGGTGCGCAGCCAACGCTAGCCATGAAACCACAAATAATGGGAATGTTTCAAAAGAAAAAATTATAATTGAGATATTATAAGGAAAAAATAAATATATTATCAGAAAATAATAAATACAGGAACAAAAGAACTAACAGTAGAATCATGCCTAAAATAATGATCACATGTCGATTGAGCTGTACGAAGACGCTGGAACTGTAACAACGACGAAGCGAATGGTCCGCGATAACCGCGTGCGGAGAATCGATTACACAAAACCGATTCTACTGCCCGTCTCCCGTGAATGTCTACATATTCCGAGCGTTCTCCTCCATAAAAGGCGTAAAGGTCAATGCACTGCTTTATAATCTCATGTCGATCTTCCTAGATCTCACCTTGATATTCAATCAAAAGAGTTATTTCGAGAACTCACGATATGCGAGCATGTGTGGATAAAGATGTGTGTGTACGTATGCTGCATGGGCGCGCTGAATGTTTACGTATTCATAATTATATATACCGGAAAATCATAACGTCCGATGCTACGAGCCTCACGAGTTTAAATTCGGAAGGAACAGAGTTGGACAGGATTTGGGGATTTGATGATCCCTGGCAATAAATGACAAGAGGTATGAAGATTGAGGGATGAAAAAAGCGACAGCATCTGAATCTGTTAAGCCCCTTGCATTAACATTGGAGACTTAGCATTTTGGTAAACGAATTTACGCAATTTCAATTAGGGCTTTCTTCTTCTGAGATCGACAAAACTTATTGGAACACGAGACCTCCCACTGCGGGCCCCGCTCGAACGCCTGAATGTGGCGCTGCTTAGGCGTTCCATTGGCTTACAAGAACTTCTTTCGATATATACTATATTCGATCGCATGAAGATGTACGTACATATTAAGGTGCCGTACGCAGTACACTATGGATGAGAGGAACATCGGAAGGATCAGATTTCGGCTAGAGTAAACTTTCTCTTTGATGCCGTGTGTCAGATAAATGACGTTGGAGCAGAAGATTGACAGGATGTTTTGTGCACTTCACTGAAGAACAACACCGACGGCGATCATGTGACGTTGGCCCTTACGACTTCACCTTGTCGAAGTTTCAGAGAACAGTGCTTTCATGAGAAAAGCATGCTCCACGGGGAAGAAAAAAAAAGTTCCGCTGCTACAAATTTATTGAATGCCAAGCTAATAATAAATGATTTTTCTTGTTAGAGAAATATTTCCCCGCCCAATCCAGGGTCGCTACCATAAAGGCAAAGCTCTCGTCAATGCGAAGAGAGGAAGATAACCACCAAAGGTTGTTGGTTGTTAGCTTGACAATGGAAGAGTTCCTCGACTTCGTCACCAAGAGCCACAGCAACAAAAAAGGGCATTTGTAAGTTCACGCTCGTTTGAATCACTCCCTTGAGCTACTTCTCCATTTCCTCTTTCTTTTTTAGCATTTAGCGTACACCCAAGGTTGTGCATCAAAATTTAAAATGCGGTCCGCGAAGTTCTGCGTCTGTTGCATTTTATTCCACCGTAAGGACCGGGCCAAATCTTCATGATTTTTCGTGACAGACTAGCAATATCTGGGCATCTCGAATAACGGTTTATATACATGAAGATGAGAAAGGCTTTGGGGGATATCTTGTAGATAATGTTGCAATCGACAAGGTTAAAAACATCATTGCTTTGCTTGGTTGACTACGCAAATTGCTCAGTTATGGAAATGTCGCAGTTCCAGAAGGCCAAAAAAGAGGAAAGAACTAACTTAGAGGACGGTTAATGTCGCGCACGTCAGACCCTTCCCCTCATATTTTATGTCAATGATGAAATGTCCGCCACATTTGAAGACCATTTCTGCACCAAAATACGGCGCAGTCAATAGAAATCGGTTTTTCATGGGGCGCCTGCCCCTTCAAACCTAAATCCGTTCGATATAATGATGGTTCCCATTTATGGATAGGATGTTGACACAAGTTTGGACAACTGTGCCAACTCATTTTTGCAGCAGAAGGATGACATGCGTTGAAGAAATAGCAAAGTCAAAAGAATACTTAAGGCAAGTTTGTGAAAAATCATTCAAGAGGAAGAGCTAGAAGGCAATTTCTCGATCTTATGCAGAGCCTCCGTTATCCAATAGCTCGGAAAGAGCATGCTGGGCTTCGAGGGCTCGCAAACAGTGCCACACACANCACACACAGGTTACGCAAAAGAAGGAGCTCGAAAACTTATCGAGACAATCGCCAAGTACACTTTGAAAAGGGCATTGGGTTAGAATCCCGCAATCCGAAAGACACTACCTATCGTAATTCACTAGCAAGGCGGTTATACGACCGATACGCAATTGCGGTGCCCTAAAATTATTCAGAGAAGCTGATAAGCCGTTAGAAACAGATTTTTTTTACCACACTTTTGAATTATTTGTTTGTGCAAAACTGTTTAGTTTTTATACTGTATTTATCCAACTGCAAAAGAGGGAATTCAAATATCAAAGAAGAACCTCAAAGCCTTAGCTACCAATGTGGTTAGTTTGCCCCTGACAAAACCAAAACTTCTGCCGAGAAGCATGATTGGTTCAAGTCCATAGGCTTCAACTAGCAACGACTAGCAAATAGAGGTAAGCTCGAGCCTAATCAATCCAAAAACAGGGCCTACACTAGCTAAGTGATTCATTTCTACTTCACTTGCTGTAACCAATGATCGAGAAATATCTGGACATCGAACTTCAGCGTAGCTGCGGGTGACACATATCGCACGTCTGCGTTGATTCATCAAAAATTCGACCAATCCCTTTACCCGTGAACTTCTGTTTTTTCTTGGAACTTGAATTTGTTCTTTGCAGAACCAAAGCCTTAATAAGCCTCCAGAGAGAATGAGAGGAAAAACGAAGTCGGTGGAGTAAATTATGGCCACACTTTCGCCGGAAGGATAGAAATAAATGTCATGTACGTAGTTTGGATTACCAAATCTCGTGAACAATTCTGAGTAAAATAGAGTTTTTCTCTGGTTCGTTAGAGTGTATTAAATGAGTAGCGTCGAAAGATATTATTTTGTTAAATAAGCAGAAACAAACATACCTAAAAAGTTGTGGAAACTCAGCAAACGCTATCTGGGGATGGCGAAAACTGCAAGTAGCGATAAGTAGCGGACCAGGTACGCGCAACTGAAGACAGGACCGCTGAAAAAACTTGTCAATCAAAATAAAAGTTCTCATATTTCATGCTATTGCCGCTTATAGGAAGCTTAGAACCTAAGAGATCGACAACCACAAGAGGAACAAGGTATAATAGCAACAAGGTGAATATGAAGAAAACACCGAGTAAAGCCACAACAAGGAATTGAACTGCACCCAATTCGTCATGATTACCGCCTTAAACAACAATTCTGAGCAAAGGAATAGAGAGCAAATAAGAGCAGCATTTCCCAAACAGAAAAACAAGTTGGACCTTATCCACTGCTCCCATATGCTTTCCATACAGCTGCAAAGCAATTTCCCACCCTGGTTGCGACGCATCGGTGCGCTTTCAAAGGAATAGCAATGGGGCACGTCAAACAAGTACATTACTACAACGGCGCGGAAAGCAGGTCTGATAACTTGGTAACTGACAGCTGAGACTGTGGCTCTAGATGTCTAGGAGCTCTCTCTATGCTTTTTACTCGAGCGCAGTTTAGTAATGGCAAGAAAAGATGCCTTTGAGAATCTACGAGAGCATGTTTCGATGTTTTGCGGTCCAACCTAGACCCCCGAAAGACTAGTTTTTACACGAACTTCGTCTCATACAAGGTCATTCAATGGGCCCAGGATTAGCTCGGGAAATTAGGAACATTGGTCGCCAGGTTCCAATAGTCTTTAAGCCCATCACAATATCGAGTAGAGTGAGAAAGTGCATGGCAGTTCGCAGGTTTTATCGTTGTCGCGCAATTGATCCTTTCGATTGCTATTATTGGGAAGGTTTTCCTATCACGAATTCCAGAAAAGTCACATTTGCGGGAGCCGGCAAACCCAAAATTAATGTCGTCGAATCCTACAGAGGAAAGTAACTTCCCAAGATTGAGCATGACGTCGAGGATGATGGCTCGGCAACACGGCCATCTTCCCTCGCACCCCAAACTGTGCATCAAAACGTACCCCTTCCTTGATGGGAGAATGCATTCTTGGTGGCATTGGCGCAGCAGAATGCCCGTCGCGGCACGACGTCGCGTTGTACTGCACGGTACAGTGGTCCTCTGACCGTACCCCAACGCCTGCTATTGCTGTTACGAGGCCCTACGTTAACTGTTCATGTGCCTAAAACACCGCATGCGAGTCACCTCCCCCCGCCTTCGTGCATGCATTTACAAATTCTCCTTCCACCGTCCGTTACAGCGTCCTTCAGTATCACCTACTACTTTTTGTCACGTATGTGCGCATTCTAATTAAATGTTAATAAATATGAGCGGACTATGTCTGTAATATCCTACCCCACACAGAGGATGCAGTATAAGATAAACTTGCATCTAGCACCAATGACTGTTAAATAGCAAAATAAGAATAAATGTCAATTTGTATTCTAATAGCAAAGCAAGGAGGTGAAGGTGGCAAGTGGCGCACTATCTCACGCGCATGACCACGGGTTCGAATCCTGGATCGGTATTCGCCCAGGCCAACAAAGCCTTCCATCCCTCCGGGATCGGTTGATTAAATAAGGTTAAGTTCAGAGGTTTTTGGCGTTAATCAATCTCGTGTGGGATGCTCCCCGCACTCAACTTCCATTCATAATCGTAGTGGTGTAATGAGTGCGTACGGGGCTTATACAATGAACTGCGGTGGCCAACCGATGTACAAGTCAGTGCTTTCCTCTCCTCAGACGGATCTGGTACCAATTAATCTACCCCGACAATATGGAAGGCTTGGTCGGCCTAGGCGGACATCGATCCGGGATTCGAACCCACGACCATGCGTGTGTGAAGTGCGCCAATTGCCGCTTCACGAC